AACTTTATTGCTATCTTTTAACTAGTTAATCTATGAAACAACATTCCCTATTGTCTCCTGAAAATTTAAGAGCTTTTTAAGAGACTTCTGTGGGTGTTCAAAAACGATTTGAAAATCCAGGTACACTACCTCAGTTGGACTACCTTCATCCACATTCTTGCTGACTGCTGAGAATGGCAATCATGTGAACATGTCTTTGTGGAACCATACTGTGGAGATGTTTCAAAATCATAAAGATGATTTAGGAATAAAGTCTCCAAAGCTATTTCGGTATCTAATTCCTATCGATTTCATTTTGCATTCAAGTCTAAATTTATTGTGGTTTTCTAACTTTGTGCTTATGAATGCCAAAAAGGAAAATTTCCCTGATATTCTTTAATCTATACCTAAAATTAATCTCCTATGTCCTTGAAATTTAATTAAACCAGATAGTCTTTTAAATCGTTTGCTCACCATATGTTGGGAAAAGAGTAGCAAAATTAAATGAGTAAATCACATCAGAGAGTAAATTAAATACAGTAGTTGAAGCCAGCCTCTCTCCATTCTCCTTGTTGTTAAAATTGAGTCAATGCTGACAATAAGGATTTAAAAATGATCCGGACAAAACACATCAGAATGCATTGTATGGAAAGCTGTGCACACAAGGAGAGGAAAGGGTTAGATTACCTAAAGAATTTCTCCCATTCCTGATTGCAGTAGAATGAAGTGGAGAGTATTAGTTACATTCTAGACCTGATAGGATAGGAATAAAAGCTTTACAAAGATGGAAGATGAAGAAGGAAAACCATGACAAGACTAGGAAACCCTTGATTTACCCCTTGATTATTAAGGGAAATTAATAATGAAGAAAGAAATCATTCCTTCATTGATGAAAATTGTTTAAAGCCAACACCTAAGAATGTTTCATATGGCACCATAAAATAATATACATAACTATTTTAGAAATTAGATGGTGTTGAAAATGTGTCTATAGAATTTGCCCAACAGGCAGGAAATATGTTTCATTTTCAAAGGATGATTCTTGTAAAATACTCAGGAGTGTGAAAATCTGAGGGAAAAATAGAAAAACACTTTCATATTGCTATTTCTTTCTTCTCCATTTCTCATCCTAGCTTGTGATGCTTTTCCCCATATCTTCATCAAGGCTAGACTGAGTTATGGCTATGTATAATGCAAGAATAACTTCTCATCCCTTTAGAAGGTTAAAGTTATTCACTTCAGTGATTACTGGATATAACACTCCTGTTGATGCCCGTTGGCTTCTATTTGTCTTCAAGTTTTGTTTTCAAATCTATAAATCCATAAATAGCCTGTGATTTAAGCAAGCAAGGTCCTGTCTGGTTTAAAATGAAAGCAAGTCTTATGTGTAGAACGAAATCAAGGACAGAAATGTTACAAAGTGGTTTGCACTATTTTATCAGTGACTAAGCTGGTGAACAGCACAGATCGAAGACTACCTTTGGATGAGCCCTCCACTGTAGGTTATGTGAAATGGTATGACCTTGAGCATGACAAGAGACTCTACCATCGTGCCAGAGGATACCCCAGATAGTTTACTCAGTAGTTCACCGAGCCCCCATGTTAAAGGAAGACATAGCTGGTTTGTTAAGAGAAGGTGCTTGAGGTCAGTTCTCCATGCCATATATAGAAAAACAAAACATAACATATCCTCTATCAAATAATCTAAATTTGGAGTTCTTTCTCTATGACTCTTCCTAAATATTCTTTGTACGTAACAGAATGTTGGAAGGCAATCTGAAGTTTCAGATAATAGTTTTGCACTGTGATTATGGTGTTTTAGAGAGAATTTCTTTGACCATGTGACCATTTTAGCAATCTGCATTGCTAAAATAAAGTAGATTGGGGATGAGTCCTTACTCTGGAGGCCAAGCATCACCCCGTAGCTAATGACCACAGTACCTAGTGGTAGCCTCAGTGGAGCAGATTTGTCTTGGAGAAAGCTCATCGATGTGGGCCACACTGCAGTGAGCTAACATGTAAGCAGTGATGAAGTTTGAGCGCTTAAATTTACTCCCTGGCTCTCTTTTATTTAGCAGCAGAGAGGATTCTGCAGTCTTGCAAGAAAGGTACTGGCCTAGGACAGACACAGCGGTCTCAACCTCTGAAGCATTTCATTTTAAATTTTCAAAAATGTTAACCTATTTCAGGAAAGAAGGGAACTATCCCAAGGTCATTTAGGTGAAATCTGATGAGGCCAGAGAGCTCTGATTATGTTAGGTAGGCCTTGCCAGTGAGACCGTGGGTGCTTACAGCACTTAGTGAGGAGACAAGCACTAGACCACAAAGCACCATGAAGCATGCATCATGTCCTATGACTACTGGAGAACTTTCCTGCTAAAAAATATATGGCTATAACAACTGGGGCCTTGCTTGCATACATAGGCAGTTAGACAACCAAAGCAGCTACAGTCCTTAGGTGGCTCTCTCTAGTGCTGTGTTTTTGTTAGAGCAGAATGTCAAAGACAGAAAGAAGCAGCAGAGAAGAAATACAGTGCCATTCTCTTAATTAATTATTTAGGTTTTTTTTAAAGAATTTTTCTGGTAAACTTAAAAAAAAACACTGAAAAATCAAACATTTTTTGCAACCAATAAACAGCTCCATGTTCTGAAAACAGGTTACAGGTCAATTCAAACATTCACCAGGGAGAAGGAGATTCAAATCTCCTCAGGCAGAGAGGGAAATTGAAAATATACTCCTCATATCCTAGATGAATGCTGTACTTCTTTTGTCCTGAGTAAATTTTGTACCTATTGAAGTCCTAAATAAAAAGCTAGCATGGGGATTGGGCAAGCTTTCCTCTCATTTTTTTGAGAAGGAAATGGCACAGCCAGCTGTCTGTGGGGGGAAATTCAGGGCTGAAAAACTGGTTGGGAAACTGGTAGATCCTTGCAGCTAAAGGTTAGGTGCTTAAGACCTGGAAGAATGAGATTTAAAGATCCCTGTCCTTAATCTCACAGGGCCTCCCACTAGAGTTACAACACTGTAAACTGCAAAACAGCGCTATAAAACTGAAGATGAATTGCTGAGCCCTACACAACAGGGCTGTGACTCAGCAGGACATGGTCATCTGGGTTCTCCAAGTCCTGTGTTGAGCTCAGTACATTTTATTTCCTCCCATAGATGCCTCACAAGTAACAGAAATTGAATTAAAAAAATGAATAAAATACATATGGTAATGCAGTTGCAGAAAATCTGTTACCCTTTTTAATCACCTTTCATGTTCTGGAATTGCATTATATCTTTCGAACTCTGTAATAGCGTAAGTGCTACAAGAAAGACCACTTCCTGCATTATTGGAGGACTTTGCAATGTTATTAAGTCATACATGAGAAATCCACTGTTCAGAACGTAGGTCTCAGTGGGTTCATCTTTAAAAGCTTTACATACTTATAATCACTAGGACAAGCAGAATTTCAGATTTTTCACAGAGGAACTGAAAACTGTAAACAAATAAATTTGAAAAAAAAGAGCAACATGTTTCTTTCTCTTAATGATGATGAGCTTTTGAGAAGGAAATATAAACTTTGAATAACTGCTCAAACAGCCTTGCAATAGTATAATTATCTACCTGCTCAAGGATACAACATAGGATAGGCTTCATGTTGAAGTGACAGGGGCTCAAGAACACTATTTATTGCCTATCCTCCTTTCATAAGCATTCAATGTTATCTCAGAGTGACCATTTCTTATTTGGTAACCTTGGGTCTCGTTATTACTTATTCACATTTGTATGTTAGCTCCAAGGTAAGGAGAGCAAACGAGGTGATATATCCAATTCCAGTGCTAGACCTGAGGGGAGAGAGCAAAATGTAATTATTGAATGAGGTGCTGCTGTGAGAAAGTAGTGATTTACATCCTGAATTCATGTAAATTATCCCCCCATCCCTGACATCAGTAAATGTAGAACCCTTAATATCTTGCCCCTTTAACTTTTTTCTTTTCTTGCAATCTTTGATTCTCTGTTAAGATCAGAAGGCTGTGGGTTAGTGATAGATGTGAGGGAGTAGTTTCCATGAGTGAGTGGGCTCCTTGTGAGCCCAGGAGAGGCCATTTAAAGTCAACAATGAAATATTTGTCAGTCAAAAGAGGTTCTTTAACTAGGGCAAGCTTTTAGACCTACATTTCATCTCTGGTGGAAGGAAGAATAGAGTTGCTTGTTTGCTGGTTTTGAAGCCTTCATGGAGGGCTGCCAGTAACTATAACGCATATATTTTTCTGCTATCGGACAGGAGAAATGGCTGCAAGAATTTACCAGCACAAACAGTCATGATCCCTTCATCACACAGTCAACATGAGGATAAAGTTCAACAGTAATTATGCACCTTTTCAAAAACAAGTATTACGCCCTCAGACAAGAGAGAAAGGATTTTTTCAAGATGGTGCTATATTAACTCCCAATATTGCACCTAACTCCTGCTACCAAGCACTCAATGTGCTTTGAGGTATTGATCCTCAGAGCATTCCTGTGACTGAGGAGGGGAGGTGATCTGTCCTTGTTTCATAGCTCAGGCACTGAAGTGCAGGGGCTATGGTTAGACAGAGTGGTTGGTACACTTCATCATGTGCTTAGAGTCCTGGGTCCCTGATCATTCAAGTCAGCTAGGCCAGGGCAGACTCCCTGCCGCCAACATGACGAGGTTTCCTTCCCAGAGGAAGCAGGATGAGATAAACGAGAAGTGTGTGCAGTTAGATCTCTTCCCCCTGGGGTTGGGATACAGCCTGGTACTCAGGTCTGGTAGTTAAGTTATAGAGAGGGAAACTAAGACTCAGATTTACAAACATTTATATTCACCTAATTTCCATGTGGTTTTATGGGATTTTTAATTGTGTACCTGTCTTTGAGGCCTGGGTTTTGTATCATAGCTTCATCAGCTGATTTGCTTAGGTGCTTTGGAGGTGTACACCTTGACTACTCAAATATAAGGTGTGCTCCACAGACAGGTGATTATGTCTCTTATTTGTTGTCTTTATCCTTCAGGAAGATGAAGTTGCTCGTGATAGCCGATTCAATTTCAGTGGCTATGGAATGAGTCACTGTCTCCAAGTCAAGGACGGCACAGCAGTCAAGGCCGCTCCACCCAACCCACCTCCGGCACCACCGAAGGATTCAGAGTCCATCAAAAAGAAGTTTGTTGACCGTGCAAAACGGATTGATACAATATCCCGTGCTGCATTCCCACTTGCTTTCCTCATTTTCAACATCTTTTACTGGATTACATACAAAATTATAAGGCATGAGGACATTCACAAGAAATAGGCAACTCTGGTTTGCCAGGACTTCTTAGCCAAAGTGATATACATGTAAATAAACAGTGAAATGTCTTTCTGTCATTTGGACTAAAGGTTTCTTTTTCCCCACCAGGACACTGAAGAGAAAAAGAACAAAAAGGAAAAAAAGTATAGAAAGAAAAGTTATTGCATGAAACAATATGCCATGAGACCAGTCAATAAGGGTTCACCATATGTACTTTCAGTGTTGTTCTTCCAGATTCTGCATTGATCACATATCTGTAAATGGGGCCAAATTTTACTCAACTTTATCACCAAAATATTATCTTTAAACAGAAAAGAGAATCAGAAAACAAACTATCCTCCTAAAACATCTACCAAGAGACTGAGGTGGCTACAGTACAGTGAGTTGTAAGAGGACCAAACTTTTTCAGGATAATGTTGCCTTTCTATTTGAAACAAGTCTACTGAGCTACATTCCATAACCATGTCTGTAGTTAGTGGTTTCACCAAGGAGTCCTTTTGTGGGTTGTAACTTATTTCTACTGACAGGAGAGAGAGAGAAAAAAAAAAAAGATTTATACTTTACTATCCTTGTGGGTGTGCATTTTAATATTATCTTGCTTTACTAGAATTGTAATTTTGGGATTGAACTTGTGCGTTGTGTGATTTGATAGCTGACACTCCGAAACCAGTGAAACTGCCCAATTTATTTTTGTTGAAAGACAGTGCACTTATTTTATTTCTGCTAATTTTACATGCAACTTGAGGTGCCAAACTGTATTTTACCTATTGTGCTACCCTGTTCCACACTACTTAGTAAGAACTTGTTTCCTCAAAGGTGTAGCTCAGTTTAGCATTGAGTTTCTATTACTGCTCTCATTGTAGCTGCAACCAATAGCTCTATAGATAAACACAACTTGTTTACAGACCTCTAATTTATATCTCTACTCAAAGTGGCTATCATTTTAAATATCATTAATTAACCTAAGAATTTTAAAACTGTACTGTGATTTTCAGAACCTGTTACCTTTTGGTGCCGGATCTGCGTTATTCAAATCCTTGCTACATGTTTTAAAGTAGAAAAGAAAAAAAAAAAAAAGATGGTATTTTTGCTTACACAGAAGAAGACAACCTGTAACATAAAATGAATCAAACATTAAAATTTTACACTTGCTGTAAAAGGGTTTATTAAAAAAAAAAAGGTATTTGTTCAATTTCAATAAAGCTAAATGTGCTATTAATGTTTTTTCATTCTTTTCTTCATTTGCAGCAGTGCTGTTTGTGCCAAGACCCAGCTCCTCCACTGCTCTGTCAGTAGAGAGGGGGAGAAAAGCAACCCTCTGCTGATCTGCTTAGCATGCCAAATTTTACTCTCCGTTTTGCAAAGGGGGTGTTGTAGATCTTGGGATTATGTCAGGCGTATGGCAGAAACGTGGCTAGGATATGATGTGCTCCAGAAGCCCTCCAGGGTCGAGCCAAACCCCGATGGCTTACACCCAGCCGCACAAGTCAGGTCAGCCTTGGTCTGGGCCTGGGACAGGAAGGGTGCCGCATCCTGCTCCCCACGTCCAGGCATGGAGAGGAGTCCCTGTCAGTTTCACACATGCTGCTCCCCGGCTCCAAGCAGCTAAGGGCCTATCCTGAGCTTCTCTGGGCTTTCTTACAGCCTCACAGCTCCTGTGAGCTAAAGCACAAGCTCGGGTGGCCTACAGTGAGCGCCCAATGAGATGCCAGAACTGTTTCTCTCTACTGACAACCCAAGGCCCTTTGCCCCATATGGACAAAATAGTGCAGAAAAAAAGCAAATTAACCCACATCCCTCTTGCTGCCCTTTCCTTAAGAGGCCAAAATACACACTCTGCAGCTATACGGGATGGAGTTTTGTTCTCCATCTCCTAGTGAGATTTCGTACAGAGATGTGATGTACCTGTAACATTTCCCATGGTCTGTCGTGACACCTGGACAAATTCCTGTCGGGAGGATACAGATGTATATATTACAGCTTGCACAAGCTTGTGTGAGTGCGTGTGTGTGTGTGTGTTCCTCTCAGCATGGCTGCCTGTGTCTACCAGGCTGCATTATTCCCTGAGAACCAGGAAAGGAATCTAAAGATCTTAATAAGGCTTTTTCCAAAACTGTTATGTAAATCAATGGTAGAAAGACAGTTGTGTATTTTATCTCCCTTACCCTCCTTACTTTTGTAGCCTCTTCTGTTCCTTACACATGTGACTAAACTGGCAATAGCCGTTTTCTCTCTTTAAGACTGTGGATCCAGGTATGGCTGATAATCCTAGACAGGTGAACCTGGTATTAGTGTGAGAACTCAGGAAAACCATCCACATTATTTCACTTTGTGAAATAAGCTTTTGAGGCAAATTTAGCTATTCTAATAGTTGTAATTTTGATAGTGCAATTGCTTTTAATCTTTTTACCATAGAGTACTATTTGATTAATGGATAATTCAGCTGAAGAAAACTTCAGTGCAGTCCTAGTGCCATGGACTCCAGCAGAATGAAGATACTCAGCTGTGTGCTCTGTTCAGGAAGTAAGGAGCCTTCACCTGAGCAAAAAGGTCAGAGCTCACTTTTACCAGCTCATCGTTCCAGAAATGGTATTTTAAACTTTAAGGTATAAAACCGGCATTAATGTTAAACCTCAGTGCCCAAAGTTTTTGCTAATAAGTATCAGAGCCTATTGCTCATAACTCCCCCATATGACTTCAGCTCACTGCAGTGGACTCACAAAACTGTTCTCACCTGATGGATGTTTGTAGGTTTGCAGGTTCCTTTTTGAGGTGAATGTGGTATGCACAAACTCACCTGCATGCTTTGCACTACTTGGCTATTAGCATTAGCTAAATAGTTTGCAAAAACATATTCTGATCAGATTTGAGACATGCTGGCAGTATTCATGGGAAGAATGCTTTAATGTTGCCTTATAAACAAACTTAGGTCCAATCACAAGAGTTCTCTGTGCACAAAACGCCCACAGGGCTCACTGTTTTTGATGACACTGAGAATTTAGAGCAAAATGGAATTAGTTGTGAATCTTGAAATTGTCTGACTAAATTTTGGACATAAACGATGCACATAAACCGGATAAAGCCACTAGGCATTCGGAGCAGCACCCAATACAGAAGAGCATCCTTGCTAGTATCCTTTTAAACCATCTTACACAAAGACGGAAACCACGCTGGTGTGGACTCCTTTCTTCAAAGAACACAGATGATAACAGTGAGATGTAATCTGGACTGAGAAATTAAAGCAATGGAGCATACATATAAAATGTCAAATAAGAAGGGTATCAGGGTTTACAGAGGTGAAGGACACAGCTTCCCTAAATGAATGCTCAGAAGGGTTATCAGGGAAACAGGACTTAAATTCCAGTCACCTTGCACTCAGAGAGGTAGCAGAATTAAATAGGGAAGCAGTTTCTTTTTAAGACAGTACTGTAAAAGGAAAAAAAAGTCTTAGACATTAAGTCCCAGATATCCTTCGCAGACTAGAAGACACAGACGATGGAAAGAAAGAGCCTGTATTCATTCTGAAGAACTTCCATATGTTTTGGAAAGCCTGCAGGTTACAATCCTAGCTGGTAAGAGAGAAAATGAATCCCCGGAGCATTTAATCTACTTCCATTTATCGATAAAACAATTACAATGACATCAAATTTATCAAGAAAGTTAAAAAGCTTTAAGCTTTAAAGAAAACGACATCAGGTCAGGTCTTTGGCATCCTGTTGTTGCAAGCTGGATCTGAGTGGCTCAGCACTTGTGGAGAAAACTTTAGTCATCTCTCACGGGATAATGGTAAAGCCAAATCAATAAAATGGCCTTTAACAACAATCTTGTTGCAGTAGGAGGAAAGTGACAAAAATGTGCAAGCATTATAAGATGAGAGATCTCTTTTTGCCCATTTCCTTTCTTTTTCTCCATATTTGTTTAAGCTGCAGAGCCATCACTTATGCTATACTGAATCACAGTTGATAGATATAGCAATAGGAAGGTAAATGGCTTTTGGAGTCTCAAATATGAGCTACTGGCAAATTGTAACCACTGGCTGGGGTTACTACTAGGAGTAATAGCTATGATGCCTCTGGGGTCAGATTTTTTCCTATACTACAGAGATGAGGAGTGACGGCCAACCCCCCTCCTCCGTGGGTGCTCTGACTTTCTCACCCTCCCTCACTTCTTCCCCAGCATGAGATGCTGAAAGCAAGAGAAAAGAGCTGATGGAAAAACAATGTTCAGTTACTGCAGGCTGAACTAATGCAATCCTCTGTGTATTGTGAGACTTGTCATTGACATTGGTGGCACAGGTGTTGCTGACCAAAGCTGACCCATCAACGAAAATTTACAGCCTATGGATCATAGTTAAAACCAGAATTGGCTCTTCTCTAGAGATTAAGGAGGACCCTTCAGCTGTTAAACCAGCACTACATTTTGTCCACAGCAGTGCAGGCAGGTCATACTGGGACCAGTAACATCTTCAACCCAGATTAAGAAATTCTGCAGTCTCTCGGTGGTGCTAGCAGACATCCTGAGCAATGCTGCTTGAAGGACACTTGCAAGGTATATCACTGGGTCATAATATGTTGGGGGAAGGAATTAACCAGCTGAGATCCTTGCAAAGGAGAAGTAACACCACGGGACTTTCCAGCTGACATTACTGAAAACATTGTGGGGGGACTAGTCTTGAGACTGTAGGCATGGACATTTCTTAGAAAGGACTCTCCATTAGGCTGAACTGGTGTCTTTAGCTCAGTAACATGTGGCTGGCTCCACATCAGCCAGAAGTCACATTTCATGGATATATTCAAAAGATGCTTGACCAATCTGATTGATAGCCTTCTATGATGGAGTGACTGGCTGGGTAGGTGAGGTCAGAGCAGTGGATGTTGTCTCCCTGGCCTTCAGCAAGGCTTTTGACGCTGTGTCCCATCACATCCTCCTAGGTAAACTCAGGAAGTGTGGGTTGGATGAGTGGACAGTGAGGTGGATTGAGAACTGGCTAGATGACAGAGCTCAGAGGGTTGTGATCAGTGGTGCAGAGTCTAGTCAGAGGCCTGTAGCTAGTGGTGTCCCCCAGGGGTCAGTCCTGGGTCCAGTCTTGTTCAATGTATTCATCAATGACCTGGAGGAAGGGACAGAGTGCACCCTCAGCAAGTTTGCTGAGGATACTAAACTGGGGGGAGTGGCTGACACACCAGAAGGCTGTGTTGCCATTCAGCGGGACCTGGACAGGCTGGAGAGGTGGGCGGAGAGGAACCTCATGAAGTTCAACAAAGGCAAGTGCAAGGTCCTGCACCTAGGCAGGAATAATCCCATGCACCAGTACAGGCTGGGGACTGACCTGTTGGAAAGTAGCTCTGCCGAGAAGGACCTGGGAGTGCTGGTGGATAACAAGTTAAACATGAGCCAGCAGTGTGCCCTTGTGGCCAAGAAGGCCAATGGGATCCT